CTATATGGTGCATAGGGAAAATTAAGGGCATGGAATCCAAACCAACGAGCATGTTGAGCAGTATAAAAGGAAAGTACCTTTCAAGAGGTCAGATACATTTTGTAATGATGTTAAACCAAAGCAATTATTATAATGCATACTTAGCTTAGAATACAATTGCTTCTTTTCCAGATGTGATGAAGGGTGTTAAAGTCTTAAGAGAGATCTGACCTCTCTCAGTTGTATATGTTGTTCATGTCCATATATCCATCTATCTATCTAGCTATAGATATAGACAGATATAGATAGATATAGATGTATATAGATAGATAGATATCTATATAAATATAGATATTTAGATTGATATATCTATCTATATATCTATCTCTCTATATAACTATCTATATACCTATATATATACCTATAGCTATCTATCTATCTAAATAAATAAAATCTCACCTCAGAAATCTCACTTCTCTGATATCCCTGTACTATTACAGATACACCACTACTGCCCTATATTCTCATGCATTAGTATGGTGCTGATGTGTTTACATTCACTGAGTGCAAGGAATGTTTTATCCTAGATTTCAAGTGATACTTGTACTTTAAATAAAATTTTAATCCTTTGTTAAGCATACTCCACACTCACAAACACCCCTGGGTATGTTATGCACTCAATAACTCCTAAGATTCAGCTTCGTTATCACCTACTGAAGACCACATTAATTTGCTCACCAGTGGAAGGCCTCCCCCAGAATTCAGGGAAATGGAATAAGCTACAGATTAGGTCAGTTGAGATGCACAACAAGTAAAAGTGGTTACCTCTGTAAAGTTAAAGCCTTCTAGCATCCATATTGCTAGGAGTCTGGTATAGATTCATGGATTTCTAGAGTTGGAAGGGACCTGGTAGATCATCAGGTCTGACCCCCTGCTCCAGGCAGGAAAGAGCACTGGGGTTAAGTAACCCCAGTCAGATGCCTATCTAATTTCCTCTTGAACACCTCCAAGGCAGGGGAAAGCACCACCTCCCTTGGAAGCCCATTCCATATTTTGGTAACTGTCACTGTAAAGAATTTCTTCCTGATGTCCAATCTAAATTTATTCTCCTTCAGTTTGTAGCCATTTCTGGTAACCCTGAGGGGTGCCCTGGTAAACAGAGTGTCCCCTATTCCCTGCTGACCCCCCATGATAAGTTTGTAGGCAGCCACAAAATCGCCTCTCAGCTTTCTCTTGAGAAGGCTGAAGAGAATCAGGTCCCTCAGTCTGTCTTCATAGGGTCTTACCTGCAGGCCCTCAACCATATGAGCAGCCCTCCTCTCAACCCTCTCAAGATTATCAATATCCCTCTTGAAGTGCGGCACCCAAAACTGGATGCAGTACTCCATCGGTGGCTTCACCAATGCTGCATAGAGGGGAATTATCACTTCCCTAGACCTGCTCGTGATGCACCTCCTGATGCAAGAAAGAGTGTGGTTAGCCTTGCTTATTACCTCATCACACTGGTGGCTCATGTTCATTTTTGCATCAACCAGGACTCCAAGATCTCTTTCCACTGTTGTGGTGCTCAGAACGGTACCCCCCAGTTTGTAGGTGTGTTGGAGATTCTTTTGCCCTGGGTGCAGCACTTTGCATTTATCCTTGTTGAATTGCATCCTATTCTGATCTGCCCACTTCCCATCTGTTCAAATCTGCCTGAATTCACTCCCTACCCTCCAGTGTGTTTACTATACCCCATAGTTTAGTGTCATCTGCGAATTTGGACAAGGTGCTTTCAATACCTTCATCCAAATCACTGATGAAGATAGTAAACAGTACTGGTCCAAGGACAGAGCCTTGGGTGACACCACTGCCCACATCCCGCCAGGGAGAAACCGACCCATCCACTACCACTCCTCTGGGTGCATCCTACAAGCCAGTTTTTCACCCACCTTACTGTGAAAAAATCCACATCACAGCTACTCAGTTTGCTCATAAGAACTGGGTGTGACACTGTGTCAAAAGCCTTTTTAAAATCCTGGTAAATAATATCTACTTCCACTCCTGCATCTAAGCACTTTGTGACCTGGTCATAAAAAAAGACCAGGTTAGTCAGGCAGGATCTGCCTGCTGTAAACCCATGCTGGTTGCCCCTTAACATTGTGTTACCCGCTAGCCCCCTGCAAATGTGATCCTTTATGATTTTTTCTAAGGTCTTGCTGAGAATAGAGGTGAAGCTAACTGGCCTATAATTACCCGGGTCGTCCTTCCTCCCCTTCTTGAAGATAGGGACCATGTTGGCCCTTTTCCAGTCCTCTGGGACCTGTCCCAAGTGCCACGAGTGCTCAAACAGTTGTGCCAGTGGTTCTGCTGTGTCACTGGTTAATTCCTTTAATACCCTTGGGTGAAGATCATCAGGGCTCGCCGACTTAAATACTTCCAACCCTTTCAAGTGCCCCTTCACTAGGTCAGTGTTAACCATTGTTGGATTGGTATTACTCTCA